GGACCGGGGACCCGGCATGGCGCTGCGGAGAGGCGGCAGCGGTGCGCTGGGGCTGCTGCTGCTGCTGGGCGCCGCGTGCCTGGTCCCGCGGAGCGCGCAGGTGAGGCGGCTGGCGCGCTGCCCCGCCACTTGCAGCTGTACCAAGGAGTCCATCATCTGCGTGGGCTCCTCCTGGGTGCCCAGGATCGTGCCGGGCGACATCAGCTCCCTGTGAGTGGGACCCCTCCAGCCCCCGCCCCGCCCGCCGCCTGGGAGTTGCCTCTGGCACTCGGGCAGCGCCCCACCACATCCCGGGTCCCTCCCTCTGCTTTGGGGTGGGGGTGCGCTATGGGACGTGGGTGCAGCCTGGTCCCTGGGGAGGATAGAGGGACCCAGGTCTCTGTGACTGTTTCTCAAAGTGCCCGCGGGTCATCTGCATCAGACCCACCCTCGGCATTGGTGCCAATCAGAATCGGGGCCCACGGTGAGGTGAGGTAGGGACTCTGGACCCAGAGGGTCTGCACTTGGTATCCCTGGGTGACTCTGGGGGTGCGCTAAAGTTTGAGAGGCACTGTGTTTGTGGGGTGGGTGCTTGTGTAGGAACACAGGCAGGAGCAGCTGAACATGCCCAGGTTGATTGCAATGGCAAATGGCGAGGCCTCACTGCCCTCCTGTGTGAGGGTGAGGTTGGCACCATAGCCACCTCCTGACCTCTCTACACTGCAGGCTGGGAAAAGCCTGAGAGGTGTTTGGCCTCTGGAAGTGGAGGGGTCATGCCACGTGGCCTGGGGGAGGGGGACACAGTGGGCTTGGAGAGATTTGACCCATTCAGTGTGCCTGGCTGGGTGCCAAGTGCAGGAAGTCAGTCTGACTTCTTGCCTTAAGTTGAAGGGGGCTTCTTGTCGCCTTCCCCCAGCTGACATGCTGTGTGTGGGTTGCTTTTTCAGGACTGGAGTAACTGATCTGACAGGGCTTCTCCTTACTGTCCACCTGCTGAGGGCTGCTTTCAACTTTCCCTCACTAAGTGGGGCCACTCAGGCCAAGTGGCTAGCTGCAAAGTGGCTGTGGAGGGGGCTGTCTGGCCGCCCTTTTACTGCCTGGACATGAGCCCTGCCTGGTTTGCTTCCTGGCTCCTGGTGGAGGTACTGGGATGCCCATTGTGTTAGGGAGTCTTTCGGGTGACACTGCTCGTAGCCTCTCTCACAGGACAGTCGCTGCCTCCCATCCTGGGCAAGGCAGGGACCTGGGCCAGGACAGAGTGAGTCCTGTTTGCATTTATAGGAAGTCAGGAGGGTCTGGCTGGTTGGGCGGAGTGGAGTGGGAGAGAGGGCCTGTTGTCCTCTCACAGTTGGCCACTAAGGAGGCATGGAGGTTTCCTGAAATTAGAATTCACCTTGTTACATCCTTTAGACCAGAAGCTGCTTAATCAATCTGCATGTGAACGGAAATAATGTATCCAGGTCCTGCTGTGGCCAGAAAGGGTAGGGAGCCCCGGGGCAGAAGCACTGCCAAGCCTCTGGCCCCTAGGCTGACCGCTTTTATCTGGCAGATGGCATTGCTTCCCACTGCACAGCCAAGTTGAAGAGCCTCTGAGTTTCCCCCAAGGCTTTCATGGTGCATTTAATCAGAAGTGTTCAGAGTGTCTTTCCGAGATGTGCTCCCAAGGGGAATGCTTAATCCAGCCCCAGAGTTCCCTCAGCCAACACTACCTCTGCGTCTGCACAGAGTCTTGGGCAGAGGTGAAGCAATCATCCAGTTTCAGCCCGGGGCCTCCTGTAGTTAAGTGAAGGAAGGAGGGGATTGACTTAAGCTGCCTGAGCTCATGTCTGGAAGGAACCAGATGATGGTTCAGGTCTCTGTTGTCCAGACCAGTTTTCCTACAGATCCAGTGCATACAACTTGGCTTATCCCTCAGTCACTCCTCTCCCTGGGATGATGAGGCCAGCTGTGTGCACCCACCCCCACACCCACTACCAAGGGAGGAATAGCTGGGTGTGCAGGACGGGGGGGGGGGGGGCATCACCCACTGGCCTGGTACTTCCTGAAGGAGACGTAGCCTTGTTCCGTCCTTCTGTTGCCTGTAGGAGCCTTGTCAATGGAACATTTTCAGAAATCAAGGACCGAATGTTTTCCCATCTACCTTCTCTGCAGCTGCTGTGAGTATGGACATTCTCTCTACGGGACAGGAGTCCTCATAGGGTGGTCTCTGTGTCTTTGGTGTCGGCCTTCTAAAACACGCAGTTCACTGAGTAAACAGCGGCCTCTTGTAGTGCTAACCTGCCCTACGGTGTCCTCGGCAAGACCCCTTGCTCCAGTTCTCTGCCCAACGCGGGTGTGCAGGTTCTTGGTGGGCTTGGCTATAGATTTCCAACTCCCAGATGCAGTAACTGGGGTGGTTTTTGCATGGACTGTGGCCGGAACTTCATCTCAATGAACTGTTTCCCAAGCCTCTCACTTGAAAAGAAACTCACATTTTAAAATCTTAGCATTACTCTCAAAATAAGAGCATTTTTAGTTTACTGAGTACCTAGAGTCAGGCAACACACTGCATAACTTGAAGAGGATATTTCTGTTTTCCTGTGTGACCAGCGAGGAAACTGAGGCCCAGAGGAGTTAGTTACTTTGTCTCAAATTCTCATCCTGGCCCCAAACCCACACTTACAGCTCCTCTAAGTGAGCCATGCCCAAGACTCTGTGGTGGGTACCAAGGTACCCTGTAACCTAAGTCAGGTCATGTTTGACACTGAGCAGAAAAGTCCAAAAAGCACTTTGTAAAAGCAAATCCTTGACAGGCAAAGTTGGGGGTACAGAGCTCATTCTCTTTACCTATTGTTTTGTTTTTTTTCTTTCTTTCTTTTTGTATTTTAGGGAAGGGTCTGCAGGGTGTTCAGGGTCACACTACTAGGTCAGACTCATAGTGATCCCCCTGTTTACAGCCTCCCAAAAGCTGGGATTATAGGCGTGCGCCACCACACCCAGTCTCAATTGCTGTCTCAGTGTGCCCTGGGGGTGGGGTGGGCAGGGCAGGCTGGGGGATTGAACCTTTGGACCCCTGCACCTGCTTGCAGGCGTTTTAATCCACTGAGCTATTTGGCCAGCCCTTCTATTGTTTTGGGGTTGAGATTGTAATTTGACAGTGGAGAGAAAAATGGAGAGAAGCAAAGGTTACTACTCACCTAAATAAACTTAATGTTGATGTTTTTGTTCCTGAGGTATTATATGCCTACTTTTAATGTTATATTTATTGCTTTAAAATCTGAAATCTCTTAGAATTGTGATGATGTTCCAATAAATTTCCTATGTAATGATCGGAATAGAAACAATTTTAGATATTCTTTTGTCAAATAAAGTAGCTCCTGTCTAGATAACATAGATTTCTACCAAAACGACTTAAGGAGTGACTCATATAGAAAATCGCTAGTGATAGAACCTTTTGAGGATCTCTTAAACTTTTATTTTATTTTATGTATTTAGTACAGGGTCTACAGGGTCTCACCACACAGATCAGACTCATAGTGATCCTCCTGTTTTCAGCCTCCCAAGTGCTGGGATTACAGGCACATACCACCACACCCAGTCTCAATCAACGTCTCATTGTGCTCCAGGGACATGGACAGCACAGTGCCCAGGATCCAACTTGGTCCCTTCATCTGCATAAGCAGCCACTTTAATCTGCTGAGCTGTCAGGCTGGCCCTTAAACTTTTAAACATGATTTCTCATGGGAGTATATATGTGGTAGGAAATAATTGTTTTGTTCCAACTATGTGGCTTTACTAAAATCGATTTAACTTCTGTGGGCTTAATTTCTCAAAAAATCATGTTGGATCAGTCTTTTAAGCTTCTCATTCCATGACTGGTGTGCATCAGCTGTTTCATTGTGCCTAGCAATAGAAAGTTTTCAAAGAACAGTCATCAGTTTACACTGACTGTGACCCCAGGGGACAAGGGGATGGAGGGTGAGAGATAATCAGAAAAAAATTGCTTAAAAGGAGCCCACTTATCACCATCTCCATCTGCAGCCTGTGAGAATCAGCTTGGTCTAAAGGGTTGCTCTTAAGCTGAGCCCCTATTTGCCCATAGATCAGAACATGGCAAAAGAAACAGAGATGGCTCTGTAGCTCACGCCTTACACCTGTACACTGAACTCTGTCTCATTTTCAGCTTGCTGAATTCTAACTCCTTCACTGTGATCCGGGATGATGCATTCGCTGGACTCTTTCATCTTGAATACTTGTAAGTGTTGAGGTTTGTCTGTGTGCCGTCTTAGTGGAGTTGCAGGATGCCATCCTGCCCAGGCCAGCACCTCTGGGGTGCTCAGGAGTGGAGAAAACCCCTCTCCCTCTTCAGTCCTGACTCTTGATCATGCACTTGCTTGTAAACATGCGGGAGCAGAAGAAGGCTGGAGACAAAGAAGGAAAAATATTCATTCATTCTCTGCTGACATTTAATTTGTCATGTAGTAAGCACAATTGGAAACTGCGTTGGATATTTTTACCTCTCATAACTAGGCATGGATTTGCTGATCGGCCAGAAATAGAGCTGGAGGGTTCTGAGGGCTACTTATTTTTACACAAAGATTCCCTCTTTGGGACACAACTGAAGGCTTTTAGCAGCTGTGCCCACCCTGTGTGCAGTCTCTCCTGTAAATCCTGCTGCGGGTGTAATTGTATTTTCCTTTCTCCTTAAAAAACACCACCCCCTCAAAGAAAGAAAAAAAGATTTCTTCTTCTTCAGAGGCACAGCTTTCTTTCTAAGGATGAGCTTTGTCCTCGTTCTGATTTCTGTCTTTCCTCACTCACTTTCATATCTTCTCCCCCTGAAGTTCTTACATCTCTGTATTTGCAAATTTGCCAGTGTCAGTCCTTCTATCAGATGGGATTTCCTTGCTTAGCAGTCAGTGGGATCTTTAAAGCCCCCTCTCCACTTCCTTATCTGAGTCAGCAGGTAGATATTAGAAGTCTAGACACATGCTGGTTTAAAAAGGCCCTCTGCTGATTTCGGGGTGTGGGGGAGCAGTGCTGCAGGACTGTCCTCCAGAGCAGGTAGAAGGAGTGGACTCTAGGACTCCGGGGCTCCATGGTAGGCATAAGGCACAGACAGGGCAGACCCAGGCAGGCTGTCTCAAAGCACAGGAGGAGTGATGGAGGCGGCAGGGGCAAGGCTCTGAGTCTTCCGTGATGGACAGATCATCTTCCTGCTTAGGTTGGTGGGGAGGAAGTGAATCAGTTCATACTGAAGCCTAGCATGAGGGAGACATTGGATCATTCAGAAACAGGTACCAGAAAGTTCTCGGGGCAGGAACCAAGAACCAGATGGATCATTCACGGTGTCGTAGAGGTACCAAAGCCCCTCCTTTGCACAATCTCAGCCAAGGCTCCCTTGCATCAGCTGCACCTCCATGCTGCCAAGGAAAACTGAGCTCTCTGTGGCCCTATGGGAGCCACAGTGCATTCCGTCATCTTCTCATGAAGAGTTTAAAGCATGCCGGTGCTATTGCTGCAAGATCCTGTGTGGAAGCCCTGTGCCATTTTAGCCCAGAGAGTCAACTTTATTGCATGTCCCACTTCCTGGGGGCGCGGAGGTAGTGAGGGAACCTTGCCTGGTCCCCCATTTGCTCCATGATTAGACTGTGAGGGACACGATGAGCTCAAGGTCACTGAAGGCCAAGCTCAATGGGACCCTCCCTCAGAACTGTGCAACAATGGCCATCCCTCTGGGCCCAGGACATTAACAAAAATGTCAATCACCAGGCTGGGAAATGTGAGTGGACAGAGTAGGGAAAGTGTGTGGATGCTTTCCGGTCTTGCAGAACCAGGAGAAGTCCTGGCCTCGAACAGCGCACTCCTCCCACTGCCGCCCCAAGGTGTTTTCCGCATGCTGCCATGGGGAAGACTTCTATGCTGCTTCTGGGAGGAGCATGGGGACACACTCCACCTGGAACGTGCCCTGGCGCACACACTGCGTCCACATGCAATTTGGTGTAGCCAACTTCATCTTCAGAGATTTTTGTAATTTGGAATGCTTTTGGATACTCATATTGTTTCTTTCTTTTTCTTTTTTTTTGTATTTTAGTGAAGGGTTTACAGGGTGTTTAGGGTCACTAGTGGATCAGACTCATAGTGATTCTCCAGTTTACAGCCTCCCAAGAGCTGGGATTACAGGTGCACACCACCACACCCAGTCTCAATTGCTATCTCAGCGTGCCCTGGGGGTGGGATTGGCACAGCAGGCCTGGGGATCAAACTCCTGGCCCCTGCACCTGGCTAAGCAGGCACGTTAATCTGCTGAGCTATTTGGCCGGCCCTTGTTTCTTAGAGATATTAAGTAGAGGAAACTGACCAGATTTATGCTACTCTTTTCCTTAGGTTCATCGAAGGGAACAAAATAGAAACCATTTCAAGAAATGCCTTTCGTGGGCTCCGTGACCTGACTCACCTGTAAGTCCTTTAAACACCACTGTAAGACCCTTGGGATATGGAGTGAGATTTGCCTCCTGCCATGTCTCTCTGCTTGAGATTTCCATACCATTTTGATCCCTGAAGGAAACTCATTTTCAGGTTGCCCAAAGGGTGTCTGTGATGCCCATCAGACTCTGCTCAGTGCCCAACGCACTGGGCATTGTGCTTTTCTCCATCCTCTGGGTCTGGCACTGAGACCATGCTGCATGTGAAGTGAGAGCCCTCTGGGCTGTGAGGATCTGGCTGGCGGCAGAGATGGGAAGGGAGCTGGTACCTGGTACCTACTTAGTGCCAGGCTCAGGGCTGTGTGCCTGGGTGAACCTTCTTGTCTATCTTCTGTGACCACCTGTGAGCCCCCATTTTATAGATTTGAGAACCGAGGCTTAAAGGACCCACTGAGGAGAGTCAAATGTAGGCTGTGAACCAGGACAAAGCAGAATAGAGATGCTGTCATGGTTCTTCTCATTGGAATGCAAATCACTTTTTCTTTTATGCTGTATTAATCTGTGCTTTCTGCTAAGCTTTCCGGTTCCTTAATAGCTTTCTAGAGCAAAAAAAAAAAAAAAAAAATTATAACAAATTGATTTGATTTGGCATATCAGAATAAAGCAAGTACACACTTTTAGTGAATATATTGAACTGGAAAAAATAGTGGCTGTGTTTATAAAAATGCAAACATAGCCCTTGTCTGGGTGGGAACAATTCATTAGCCAGGAACCCGATTCCATGTGTATGATAGATATTGTGTTGCTGAGTAAGATGACACGTCTCATCTCCACAGCGCGCCTGCCTACAGGAAATGGGAATTGGGAGCACGCAAGGGCTTTGCAAGCGGGTGGTGGGCAGAAGCGGTGGGGCCTCAGGTGGTGCCCGGACTCCTCCATTGTGGATCTCATCACCTAGCCCAATGCCAGCAAGGGTGAGTGAGTAGGCTCAACCCTCCCCATGGTGGTCACCAAGTGCTGCTGAGGTGGAGCCCAGCAGGGAGGAAATGAGGTTGTGAATGTGGGGGCTCCGACATCTGCATCCGCACAGTCCAGACTGGAAGCTGTCAGATCCTTGTCGGCATTGTGGCTTGAGGGTTTCTTTTCTCCTGGTAAAAAACTTGACTGTTTTTTCAGATTCAGTCTACATGTCAAGTCCCCTGTGTTCCCAAGACACTAAAACTCTGGGCTTTGGAATCCTATAGAGCTGTATTCAAATCTCAAGACCATTAATTATTAATATTACTTTGCTGAGCCCCAGTTTCTCATGCTTAACATGGGTTTCTGTACTTAATGGGTTAATGATGCTTGCTTGCAAAGCGTGTAAGCCATTCCCCCTGGTGAACACTCAAAGTATCATTGCGATCATGGTCATCAATAACATCATTCCCTCCCGCTCATTAAGAGGTCTTGATCTTGCCATGGACCGCTGAGTGGCCTTGGGAGTTTGATTGGCCAGATGGAGTCTGCTAAGAGGACACTTGCACGTGTCTGGAGAGGAACAGCTGAGGCTGGAGAGGGTTAGCAGTCTCTGGGCAGATTAGGACCTGCAGGCAAACACAGCCCATGTGCCTGGCTGAGTTAGCCCAGATAGCAAATTTCCTTTGCCCAATTGGCTACTGTTCCTGTCAGGAGGAGGGTGTGAGTGTACAGGTATTGTGCATGCATATTTGCATATGTGTACTCGTGAGTACATGGTCTATGTACATGTGTGCATGTCTATGCTTGTGCATTTGTTATTTCATGGCTTATCATGTGGGCAAGAGGCATTTCCTTCTCTGTGTGACACTCAACACAAGTACAGAGTGAGCAAAGGGAACCCTTTGCTTGAGTCCAGAGTGCCTGGGAGGAGGAGCAGGCTCCTCAAAGCGAGTGTTACTCCCAAAGGCCAATGTCACATCCCTTGCTTGCCCAAGATGCTGTTTCTTCTGCCATTTGACCTGGGGTCTCTGCTTTTCCTTCATCCCATGATAGGTCAGTCTCTTTCACGAAGCCATTCCCAGTCTCTTTCATCCCCTATTCCCCTTTGCTGTGTTTCTTTCTCTCTACAGCAGTGTGACAGCTCCCTGAAGGCAGGCTCCTTGCCAATGTCTCATGGGCTCTGCTACCTTCTCTGCAGCAGGATACTAAGCCCTTGGGCACACTGTCAGATTCGCTGGTCGACTTGCAAGCTCCTTACTGAGTTCTATTTTCCACAGGTCCTCTATAGGTCTGATGACTTTTAAAGCTGGTTCCTCTAGGCTGGAGATATATTTGGTAATCAAAGCCTTTTCATGTTGTTCAAAGAATGAACTGACCTCCCTCTGTTCTTTTTGTTGTTGTTGTTAATTCTCTAATAAAGAGAAGACATCAGCCTGACAGTTCATCCCTGTGCCTAATGGAAGTCCCTATAGGAATTTGCTTGTTCAAGTGTTTGATCTTTTTATCAACTTTCCACCATCTATAAGCTCACTCTCCTAGATTCATAGACCAGGTACAAAGCATCGAAGGAGGGAGCTCTGCCAGTCTGTAACTAAGATCTAGGACATTGCTTCCTAGCAGTCCTGTAAAACCCAAGGGACAGGGAGCTGTTAAATAGTTTTAGAAATGAAGTAAGTGTCATGATTTTGTAGACAAAAGGAAATAGGGAGGTTAAACATTTAGTGTGAGTGGGATGGATAGCCCATCTCAGTAATTCTGCTTAGAACAATTGCTGAACATTCCGCTCTTTCTTTGCATACTTAGAACAATTGCTAAGCATTCTGCTTTGTTTCCTTTTGGCTTTAGTTGCTCTGTGTCACTGGCTTTGGCCCTGTTCTTTTTTTTTTCCTTCAGAACCGGGAATTGAACTTGGGCCCTTGAACTTGCCAGGCAAGCGTTTATTCTACTGAGCTATCTCTCCGGCCCGATGTTCTTATCTCTTCACTATATTAACTTCCAACTAACTAAAATTTCCAGCTAAATAATTAACCTTTAATTAGATGAAAGCTTTTTATACTTTGCTTTCTAGAAAAAGCTACCACTGGCTAGGAAAAATCAAAACAAACATCCCCTTTCATAAATTTCAGAAAGAGACTTGCAGACTACATTCAAGCTTATATATTCAGCCTGTTTTCCAACATATTAAAAATGTACAAATAAATCATTCAGCAAAGAAAGATAAAATAATACTTGAAATGGATTTTAATCCCTTTATGGTTACCTAAATGGGAAGGGGCATAATTCAGAGACTACAAGTCTCTCCACGTTCAGTTGGCATCTGGAAGCCAGAATATTTGGATTAAAACATGAGTTCAAACTTCCCACTGTGCCCAGTGGGCCGACTCTAGGAGTTAACCGGAGAAGCACACATCTCTGTAACATTCCTTCTGGGCCGGGTCATTATGGTGCTCCGAACAACTAATATCATGTATATCATTAAAAGGCTGGCATTGAACTGCCTACATGTCTATCATTTCTATGTTTTGCTATTTGTACTCATGAATAAAAGAAAACAGATGTAAGCACCAGTTGTTGGACTGGCTCACATCAACATGCGGAGCCCAGGAAGTCCCCAGCTTGATGTACACCATTCCCGCACCTGGCATCTGCCTCCAGCTGCCCTGCACCATGGGCTTTCATCCTCAGCAGGACTGAGACAGGGCCCTGAGGAATCCTGAGTCATCAGAAGCTGAGGCTACTCATGCTGTTGCCTTCCTGGATGGGCAGAGAGGACCAGGACATCTTTAACACTAAGATCACAAATGCAAAAGGGTTTCTTCACCTTTTGTTAATGAGAAAATGAAATTAATCATAACCAGTCATTCCTTAGATCTCCTGGTTGTGATTACATTATGCTTAAGGGTCAAAGCTGGAAAGCGTTAGGTAGAAGTATAGTCACTGAATCCTCAGAACCATGTGGTAGATGTCACTTAGATGGATCACTGGGGAGCTTTTTGGGACAAGACTTTCATCATTCTTACTTTGGTGCTTTTTTTTTTTTTTTTTTTTTTTTTTTTTTTTTTGTGGAACCAGGGATTGAACTCAGGCCCTTGGTGCTTAATTCATTTGTTCAACAGGCATTACTGAAAGCCAAGCATGGTACTAAAACCTGGGGATGTAGTTGTGGACAAACAGATGAGAGTCTCTGTCCTCACGTTGCTTACATGTGGGGAGCACTTGCATCTAAGACATAGATAGCTAGGCTATGTGTGTGTCAGGTGGTGTCTTCCAGTGGGGTTCAGCAGAGCAGGGAAGGGAGCTGCGCGGAAGTCAGAGAAGGTGGTGATGGATGAGGACAGACCTAAAGGCAGTGATGGAGTGAGCCATGTGGGTAGACCAGTACAGAAGCCTGGAGCGCACTGAGGCCCGGGAGGCCAGGAGGCCCAGGAGGCCTAGGTGGGTGGGTCTGTGAGTGGTGGAAGAGGTGGCCTCATAGGAGAACAGGAATGGAGGCATCTAGACAGCAGAGGATCTTGCATGTCATCAAGGGGACTTCAGCCTTTGTTCCAAGAAACATGGGAAGCCACCTGAAGTTTGATGGTTGTGTATTAAGAGCTTGATTAATGCTTGTTTTGAAAAACAAAAAACCTGATTTGTCATCCTGCATCCATAATGTCATCTTGGTATAACTGATCTCATATCTGCCTTTCAGTATTGATGATCTGAGCCGGGAATTGAATCACGTTTTGATGAGGAGGTTGAAAGCACTGTTTAAGCCATTAGCTGTATGTAAAGGGACTTCAGAGTGACCCAAGATGAAGATAATAACCCCATTAAAATGTGACTTTCTGATTCCAGGTCTTTGGCCAATAACCACATTAAAGCACTACCAAGGGATGTCTTTAGTGATTTAGACTCTCTGATTGAACTGTAAGTAATGAAATTAAGTCTGTGTGTATTTGTCACAGGGCCCCAGTTAATCATATCTGTCAATCCTTTCTGCTGCTTTTCCTTTATTTCTTTTATGCTGTAGCTAAAAATCAATAACAAAGTAGTGCATACTGGGAAACGGCATGCAGTAGGTGTTGTGTTGGGTTCCACCCTTTGATAATACACTTAGTACCATGAAGCCAATGGTTAATTAGGCCTGCAGGTGGAAGCCACCGTGCTCCGAAGTAGTGTCTGTCTTATTTAATAAGATCTTATAAGTATCAGCCATGTTTGAGAAAACTGCGCCTATAGTATGCTGCCTTTGTTTCTGTCCTTCTCCCATTCCTCCTCCTTTCCCACCACAGCGTGGGGACAACCTCAAGAGGGCATGCAGCGAGGGTGCGTGTTTCCTCTGAGAGCTCTCTGCATGGTGCACCAGTTAAAACACAGGTGCATTCAGTACAACCTGAGAAGTGTAGGAAATAGGGTACATGAAATGCAGTTTTTAAACTTCTACTTTTAGAGAGTTTTCTATGTTTTGGGCTGTTCATTTTTGTGTGTTTCAAGTCGCAAACATGTCAGGTATGTGAGTTTTTCTGTGCACATGTTTGTGTTTCGTTTTAGGGATTTAAGGGGCAATAAATTCGAATGTGACTGCAAAGCCAAGTGGTTGTATTTGTGGTTGAAGATGACAAATTCCACAGTTTCTGATGTGCTGTGCATTAGCCCACCAGAATATCAGGAGAAGAAGCTTAATGACGTGACCAGCTTTGACTATGAATGTACAACCACAGGTATCAGAAGCCTCGTCGTCAGAGATGGGCGGGGATCCCTCAGTTCTGCTTGTAGGTTGTCAGAAGAGCACGGGGAGAGTGAATGTACAAGGCTTCTACCCTGAGGTTATTTTATTTATTTATTTATTTATTTATTCCAGAACCGGAGATTGAACTCAGGTCCTTGCGCTTGCCAGGCAAGCGCTTATTCTACTGACCTATACTGACCTATCTCCCCAGCCCCTGGAAGGGTTTTTTTTTTTTTTTTTTTTTTTTTTCTTCATTGACTTTGGCTTTGATTCTTTACAAAAATTCAAATTTCTCCAAGTTTTTTTTTAAAGGTCAAAATATAAGCTCATGAGTTTAACATGAGAACGTCTCCAAATCAGTCTTGCTTGCAGGGAAAGTTAGTACAGAGAGGCCTGAACAATTTTATTATCATTGTTTTCTTGATTTAATAAGAGGATGTTTATTGGAAATTTTATGGCAGAGTTCACAAAATCTATAAATTGCTTTATAGATCTAAGTAAGAAGAGAGAATAGGTAAATTATGATCAATGGCAAAGTAGAAAAATACAGGTTGGCAATCACTTATCAAAAGAAAAAGAAAACCGATGTTGAGGGCAAAAATGTAAGAAAGTTTGATTTGTTCTTCTAGCGTCTGCCTTAGGGTTTCCGCGTGTACATGTTCAGGTTCTAGAACAAAGTTAAAATGCCAACTGCCTCAGCTGTCAGCGAAGCAGCGGACAGGTGAGTGTCTCCATATGAAAGCGCCTGCGAAGCTTCTCCAGCTTCTGAAGCCAGGTTAAAGGAGAGAGGATCAGTCCTCGGCATGAAACCTGCTTTTTAGCTGTTTATGAAAATAAACACTTAGGCTGAGCGTTGATATCCGCATAGCCTCAAGGAATGTCAGGAGAAGCAGCAGAGATGGGAGATCAGGAGAGTTACAGGCTCTCCAAAGACATAAAAATTCCCAGAACAAAATAGCATATTTAGGCCAGATCCTGCTGCCGCCTTCCAAACAAACAAAATCCCACAAACTCCCAGTGATTTCTAGATGTCTCAGTTTGCCAGTACAGGACCCCACACATTCTGTTCTTTTATAGAAAACTTGAGATCTCATGCATGTGCCCTTGTCTTCCGTCATCAACTGGGGACTTACTCAGCTGTGTAATAGGCAGGTGCCCTCCGGCCAGCTGAGGCCACTAAGAGGTTATTTATTGTACCGCAGGGGCCAGTGCAATAAATCAGAGATCGTAGTCAGTGGCATTTGCACCAAAATGTGGTGTTTGAGACCATTTGGTGTTAAGCTTTCTGGGCTCCTCTGTGGCCTTTTCTCCAGTCTTTCTGGAGAGTTCTTCCAACCCGCTGGGACGTTAGCCACCTCCACTGTCTTGTTCACACCTGGCAGTGGTGTGTGAACCCACTGCCGGGTGCCTAGGGGCTGACAACTGTTATCAGAAATGAGCTGGTTTGGAATGGAGGCAGCCACACCCCGCAGCAATGCAGAATCCAGAGTCCGTGGAGCAGTGTGAGGCCCAGTGCGCGCCTGGTGTTGTCTTGCAGGCAGGTTTCCTTCTCAGGTTAGGAAAGTGAGCACCAGGCTTGCTGGTAAGAGAGCAGTGACCATGCTGCTTTTGCGATTGCTTTGCAACTCCTAGACACATCAGCCCTTGCTATCACTTTCTTCCATCAAAAAAACATGGCGCAGCACAGCGTGACCAGCGCCTAGGTACGGTTTCTGCTGTGTCGGAACAAGATCCATGCACTGAGCGTTCTGAGCTCCTGTCTGCTGCTTGCATCAAGCCCTGGCCTCTGCTACTTTTTCAGAGGCTGGCAAGGAAAAGAGCAAGGACTGATGGAAGATGGAAAGCCAGATCCAAGCAGCAGGGTCTGTTGATCATTCCTTTTGGGTTGAGAAGGAGCACATTGTCCCAGGTGCAGTTTTCCTCTTAGCTCAGCTTCTCAGGGAAGGAGTAAACTTTCTCAGGTAGCTCTCTCCTTGTTTTGCCCAGAGGGTTACCTTCCCTTTACCTTGGCAAAGGGACTCTTTAACACCACGCAGCCACCGCTGAACTCCTTCTGCTCATCAGATTAATCAGTTTCTCTCCCATCTCCAGTATTTTTAACCACTCAAAAATCCCTGTTACCTACCTATGATTCCCTCTGTTAGGTGGATAATTCACTAAATTCCTTAGAGGGAGTGAATTTTGCATCCTAATTGTCCTGTTAGCTTCCCTATTTCAAGGCTGATGAAAATGCAAAGAGAAATAATACATTAATGTGCACTTTCTCTCCCCATAGGCTCGGCATCATGTATAATTTATTTTCTGCCTGGGCTATAAATAGCTATGTAAAAAATCTGTTGATTCCAGTGGGAGAAGGGCCTAAACTGTGAGACCCACTGACATCATGAACCTGATTCCGTGTGCACGGAAGTGGTGGCTCTTGGCAGGAATGCCATAAATATTTTAACACTAGTAAATTGATGTCATACCGGTATGTGTATTCTTCAGGCTCTCTCCACAGTGAATGCACTTGTGCAGTTTGGGAACGGCAAATTAAGGTGGGGCAGGGAGAAGGTGTTTAAATTCCTCTAGTTCCTTTTCTTGGTCAGGCACCAACACATGTGCATACATTAGTGTCTTTTGTCCTTTTCCTTATTTTTCTTCCCTTCCTCTTTTTTCTTCTTCTCTTCCTTTTGTGGTAGGAGGGAACTATTAAGAATTTATTCTGAGGCCGGGAACTATTAAGAATTTTATTTGTCATTCAAGTAATTTAATAATCTGCGTTATGTCCGATAGTCAGTATAAAGAAAATATCATGAAAGCACTGTTTTGGAAAAGAGGACCTCTAAAAGGTATATTTGGAAAATGCTGTCTATTCTGGCATCTTTTTCTTCTTGGGGTTTTTCAATAAGAATGGAAACTTTTGGGTCTGCCCTTTAAACAGCCTGCATGTGAAAGCGAATGCTCACATTTCTGAGAACTCGGAGTGCAGTTCGGAGACTAATGGGAGTGAGGAGACGCATGAGCTATGGCCATCGAGGGAGTCTTTAGCACCTTTGGCAGACTTGGACGAGATCAGCGCAACAGAGATGGAGAGGAAGTGTTTATAGCCAGCCCGGCTCTAATTAAGTGTAGCTGCATTCTCCGAGCCCTTTCTTATGGCCAGGAAAGGAGTGCGTGGCCCCATCCCCTCTTGCTCCTTTGTCTGCTTGTGGCCACGTGGTCCACAGAGTTGATTCTCCCAGGATCAGTGGCAGTGAACAGTGTCACTTTTTCTGTTCTTAGTCTTTGACTGATGGACACTGCTATTTTAGGGGCTCTGTCCAGGGGTCAGGCGAGGGGCCACTGGGATACTCTGGAGGTCTTCAAGCAGGCAATTTAATGCAGTCCTTGTTGCATATATGCAACGTGCAGATGGAATGGTGTCCAGAGGCCCGGCATCATGTTCAAGGCCAGCAGCCACCAGCCTTTTTGACCCCAAGGATTGGTTTCATGGAAGACACTTTTTCCAAGGATGGGGGAGTAGACAGGGAATCACAGGAGTCTGCAAGCTAGATCCCTCATGTGTGCAGTTCATGCAAGGGTTGCACTCCCATGAGAATCTCAGATCTGCTGATCTGAGAGGCGGTGGAGCTGAGGTGGTGATGTAACACAGCGAGGGGCTGTGAACTCCGATGAAGCTTTGCTCACCCTCCACGCTTCTTGTGAGGCCTGGTTTTTAACAGACCATAGAACAGTACAAGTCTGTTGGGGTTGGAGAGACCCCTGCTGTAGGTACACACCTGCCTGTTTTTAGTCTCCACCGCAGCATCAGAACATAGGTGCTTCTTTGTCCTTACCCATGAAGAACCTGAGGCGCCATCTCCTCGGCCAGTCATGTAGCTGACAGTGGCAGACCAAGAACCTGAAGCCCAGTCTGCCTTAGCTCATAGCCCCAGCTCTTGGCCACAGTACTCAGCTCTTTGTTGGGGTGTGGGGGCCACTAAGCCAGTAAAGCCATTCGGCCTTCTACCTTCTGTCAGTCACTTACCTGCCAGGCTGCACAGGCAGCTTCCTCTTGGTTCCCAAGAAGGAACCAAGTGATGCAGCCCACCTCCCCTGCCTCCCTGCATCCTTTGCAGCCTGCCTTTTCCTGGCTGTCTGCAGTGTGGGCCTTGGGTGAGGCAGATTACTCCATGTGTTAAGCCAGAAGGTGTTTATTAGGAGCCCACTGTGCATCCAGGATGGGGCATGGGAGCCTGCTAAAGTTAAGGTGGATGGAGGTCCACTTTGTGCTAGGCTAAGCGCTACATCTGTCCCCAGAGGAATCTGAGGCACAGACAGGTAAGTCACTTGCTTTGGGTCATGCAGCAGAAAGGCAGCTGCTCATCTTAGCAGCTTACCTTAAGCGCCATTGAAGTGGACACCTCACCAGAGCTGGGCTATGACCTCAATTCTATATTTATTCATGTGCTTACACCTGAGGCAGGCACTTCTGCCTGTGACCGCTTGGTCCACCACCCTGCTCAGGAGTCAGTGTTCTGGTCTCCTCTGACTCTGTCAAGTGGGACTGGGAGAAGAGGGGGAGGGGCCAGCCTGGGGTCTCTGGTAGGAGGCACCCTTGGGCCATCTGTCTTCAGGCATGGTACTCTTTCCAGGCCTCTTGGCTCCTCCTTTTTCAGCCTTCACCCCCTCCTTCTCCTCCTGCCCTTCCTACCCCTGCCTCACCGTTTCCACTGCACCTCTGCTCGGCAGCTGTCCCCTCTTTTCATACCTCCATTCCTGCCTCAGTCTCCCCCTTTACTTACTATTCCACTACTCCCTTGGGTGACATCTTTGATCAGGCTTCCCTGTCAGCAATTATTGTTTGAATGGCTGTGTAACAGCTGTGGGAGGCCTGGGGAAGTCTAGGGCCGAGGTCTGACTACAGGGAGGTTCAGGAGGTGCACTCCGCAGGCTGTGTGTCCTTGGCCAAGCACTCACCCTCTCTGAGCACTGTACAGTAGCACAAAGCTCAAAGAACCCCGCCCCTCCAAACTGGACTCTGATGTTAGTGCTGGGCATCTCAGTGAGTAAGATTTAAACACAATGTGGAGTGCTGGTGCCAGCGAGTTTCATGGATTGGGCTGCTCATGGCAGGTCTTGTAGAGGACTTAGGACTTGGGTGGGGATGGACCAGATCTGGCTGAGAAAAAGCTGGACAGAGCGAGGATTCCTCCTAGGAAGGACTTTGCTAGCCAGGTACCCACCGTGACCCACGTCTAGCCTCATTGTGTCACTGAGGAGGAATGCCATTGGAGCGCCTATGGCCAGCAGTCAGTGTCCTGGTCTCCTTTGCTGACTCTGTCAAGTGTTATTCCTTAAACCTCATTTGTCAGTGTGGTTTTTGTAAAAGAGATTCCTCCTTTTCTAGACTTCTATAGTTAACAACCCCCTACTCCACTATCCTTTCTCCTGGGGTCATGCTTGTTCTGTTTTTGGCAATCAATCGTGTGGTCCTGCCAAGGTCTAATCCAGCAGTTGGCTGCAGCTCAGGGGGCAGTATGGATAAGAAGTGTGGACTTCTTGGCCTGTGGGAGAGGAAATCATGGAGCATGGGGCTCGGAAGCCCAGTGGATCTCCTTACCTGCTCGCCGAGCTGTGTACACCTTCGTATCTGAGGCCTGGCTCCTTCTTAGCAGGGCACCGAGCCTAGTACCCTGCAGTAAGCACATGTGGTTCACTTCTCCCACCGGCTTCTCTCGCTTCTGAGAGCCAAGTTTGATTGGGTTTCCAAAGGCCAGTGCGCCTTTGGGGAGTGCAGTGTTCGTTGGGCGCCTGTGGGGGCGCTGTTTCCCACTACGTGTGTGCGGAGCGGGGCGCACAGTCGCTGCTGGTCCACAGCCCTGTCTGCTAAGTCTGAAAAGCATCGCCTCAGACAGAACGAAGCCGACTGCATTCCTGTAGGGGCTGTTCAGAGAGGGCTAGAGGAGCAGTTTCCGAAACTTACTGGACTACACAGCCCAGCCTCGCAGAGCAATTAGCTTGACAGCTTTGAGAATATCACAGTGGCCTCCTTCCTGCCTTGGTGTTTGGAAAACCAGGCCAGGTCTCACCAAATTTGTTTAAAATGTTGATTCTTCTGCCAAACATGTGAAACCGCTTATCCACAGGAAGCTGTGCGTTCAGTCTGGTTGTGCAAGCCAGACTCCTCCTGGGACCTTCAGGGTGCGATGGGCCGGGACGCGGGTGCTGTGCCGAGCCTGCCTTCCCCCTTTGTCCTCCCCTCTGGTATCCATGGCAAAAATGACAGAAAAGGGATGGGATCGGGTGATCCCCACAAGACATTTTATGAATGCTCCCTGTTTTTAACACCCACCCTCCAGATTTTGTGGTTCACCAGACCTTGCCCTACCAGTCGGTGTCCGTGGACACGTTCAACTCCAAGAACGACGTGTACGTGGCCATCGCGCAGCCCAGCATGGAGAACTGCATGGTGCTGGAGTGGGACCACATTGAAATGAACTTCCGGAGCTATGACAACATCACAGGTGTGTTGTACTTCCACCAGACATGGTGCACCGATTCAGCATCTCTTCAAGAAAACCAGCGTCTGCTGATGTATACAGGCAGAGCTGGGCACTCTGGGATGACCGGAAGTGGGGACCACGTTTCAACCCACCTCACCATCGCTCCAGTGTGTTCTGGATGGGGCTGGTTAGTGGTGACAGCAGTGTAGGGAGTGATCCTGTTTATTGTTGGGGAAGGATGGGCTTCTGGTGGGAGGTAGGAAGCATCTTCTAGAAGCAGGAGGGGGTCATCCTCAGAAGTCCATAGTCCTTCACGGTTCTGGAAGCCAGTCTGCCTCAGTTTCTTAACAGCAAAATCATACCTTTGACTTTGTTAAGCTGATTATTAGCGATTGTGCTAAGATAAGCCAAGCAAGGTGGTGCCCACCTGTAATCCCAGTATTCTGGGAGGCTGAGGTAAGAAGATTCCAAGTCCCAGCCCGGCCTGAGCAACTTAGTGGGACCCAGTTTCAAAGTAAAGATATTTTAAAAGGTTGAAGATGTAGCATAGTGCAAAGTCCCTGGGTTCAATGTCTAGTACCACAAGAAAACAAAACCCTAGAACTAACACACACGCACACACGCTGCCTGCACATCCTGTGGCTTATTCTTGCCAAGTCTTGGTGATTACTGGTTTCCTTTAATAAGTACATATAAAAGAAGAGTAAACAACCCCCTAAATTCAGGCCTCTGGGTCTTTGTTTAATGCTTTTTTCATTTTTATTTTTGGGGGGGGTACAGGGTCTCGCTACGTAGTTCAGACTTGTAGTGATCCTCACGTCTCAGCCTCCATAGCACTGGGATTACAGGTGTGCACCACCACGCTCTGCTCCAGGGCCAGCATGGCAGGCAGTACTCAGGATCGAACTTGGGACCTTGCACTTGCCAGGCAGGCACTTATGCTGCAGAGCTATCTCTACAGCCCAATTCATGCTTCTTTCGATGCTGTCGTGGCCTTCCGTGTCTTAGTGACATGACAACAGACTGTTTGCTTGCTTTTTATTTTTTTTATTTTATTTTTTTTGTCTTTCATATTTATTTATTTATTTTTTTATTTTTTTCAAAGTTTTATTGCCAAACAGATAGCAATGAGACAGTTTCAAATCAAATCGGAAGGACAGTTTCAACAAATAATACACTGCATATATTCTTCTTAGTGGTTAATTGCTGTACAAGATGCGGACTTGTGATCCTA